TTTATCTATTAATGATATTAACATAATCTTCCAGCCTTCAGTGTATGACTGGATTTTCATTTGCCAGCATTTACTGTAGTCAGAAAGATTTTTAAGGCGGCCAAGAAACTTTTTGACACATTTGTAACAATAACCAGGAAATTAAATAGTAACTGATTTTTGTGATTCCTGTGTCGCTTGCAAAACAATGAGCAGAAGTGAATTGTGGCGTTCGTTGTTCGGTATAAATCTAAATATTGATTTTATTAGCTTACCTGCACATGAGACACAAATATACTCTTGTTATAAGCATTCCCTCCTCATAACTTGCACCACTGTGCAGGGAAGACATTTGATGTGCCCCATGCGGCAATCCCATTCAGCAATTGAAAGCGAAGCGAGCGTTTTTTGTGGTGGCTGCAGCGAAAAAATGCAAAATCGTATTCAATGGATTTACATTTTCCAGCTATTGAGCATGGCGTTTGGTTTTAAAACGCCAACCAAAATCAGTTAGGTCTGCATGTCGAGGACGTTTCTATCGCCGTTGTGGACGAAGAATACGAACGAGAAACATGAAGAGCAGCTCCATACAAAAAGAGTCATGGCAGGGAAGCGAAATGTAAAAACTATTAAGCGATATTAGCGGCAAGTTGCGCTTTGTAATTCTGTCATGGCGCTCTACAAATCATGGCCAGCGGCACGGCAGTGCCGGCAAGGATCATGCAGTTGGTCCAATGAAAAATTTATCAAAGCCAACAAGGGATTTGAGCTGCAGGATTGGCTCTGTGGCTTAGCTTTCACAGATTTGTGAAACATAACATAATATGTAATCTGTTGTATGATTAATTTGTTACCCTCAGAGTTGGAATAAAGTGCATTTTTGCTTCGAGTTTAGATAAATTGTAATGTAAATGGTTAAGATAAGATTCAGATATCGCTTTCTAAATAACAGAAATCCTTAAGCAGGCAACCCACAAGACTGACGAGTTTGTTTTAATATTATCTTAAATATCAAATAAACACATTTAAAGACTAAGTGATTTATAATTGTAAACACGCATTGTTTGGAATTCACCAACAATGAAGCAATTGTGCATTTTGTAGTGAAATTTAATAGAGACAATAGGTTTTTATTGGCAAACAACATAAGCAAATTACAGAAACTTTTTTGCAACTTCAATTCCCTCTTGTTAGTGTTTTATCTTATTAATTCTAATGTATTTTCTTTGAAGTACAGTTTAAGGGTCAGAAATCTTATATTTAAAAATGTTGAAGCATTTCTTGGTTGATGAGTTAAATTTTTTGTTTGCCCATTATCGTTCTCTTTTCATTCCTTTGTCGAAAGTTCAGAGTTTCCGATTGTCTGTTTCTAATGGGTCATATAAAAAGGGCATCCGGAATGCAGGCATTCCCAAAGCACTGACTTGCCATGTATTCCTTCTGCAGCTGCTGCTGTTGCTGCGCTTGCCGGTTTTTCAGCATTTTCCGTCGAACTTTTGATCAAATGTCAAGTCATTCAACCAACGATGTTCGCCCAGTTGACTGTGTCCCAGCACTCGGCCACATTAAGCGACTTTTTTTACATTGCCGTCTGTCAAGGCACTGATCCACAACAGGGTCCCACGGCTCAGTGTACTGCTAGTGGTACTGCTGTTTCTACTTCTACTGCTGCACTTGCAAATCTAATTTCATATTTTATGAAGTGACGCTGTTCGGGCGAACAACATGGCCAAAGCCCGCCCAACCTCTTCATTTTTCACGCCATTATTTTACCTTGCGGTTGCATTTTTTATCCTACACGTACCAGCTCAGTGGCAATACTTGCTGGGTGAAGCCAAAATTGAACTGGAAAATCAATTGTTGAGCACATAAATTTGTTAGCTCGAAAATTGCACCGTTGGGTGAAATTTATTTTAAAAATGCAGCCAAAAGCGAACCGCAAATAAAATCGCCATGTCAGAGAAGAAAGTAAGAGAAATCGCCGCTAGTGGCACTTGTTGTTGCTCTTAAAGGCGTTCACGCTATAATTTTTGGCCGGACTTCTTGTTAAGCGGATTGACACTTGGGAATGCGGCAGCAAGAAAAAGTTCGTAGACCAATAACAGTTCTTAATTGTATTCTGATAAGTCAGCCTCTATGCACTCTCTCTCAACTGTGATGTCTTCCTTTTTAAATATCCAAAGATGTTGAAGAATTAGCGGAAGAAAAATCGGACTCATTCCTCTGGCAATATAATTGTTGCTCAGAAATATACCAAAATGTGGTAGCACCATAAACATTTGTAGGAGATAGAATAATTGCTTTGAACGAATAATTCGGTATACATACTTGTATATCTTGCTTATAAGGTCTACTAAATGGATGTTAAAGTGGATTCAACAGCTTAGTAAGATTTGAAAAAATCCTCTTGTCACATTATTTGTCAACTGAAATGCCAAACAGTTCATTAGAGATCGTCGTAAAGTTGCCAAGAATCTCAGCCAACGAAAAATGTTTGCTATTTTGTACGTAGACACATACATACATACATACAAGTAAGTATACAAAGAAGAAGAAAAAGAAGAAGGCACATATATGTACAAGTATACTAGTATGTACGAATTTGTATTTTGCATTGCCTGCTGCACTTATCTGGGTTAATACGATGCACAAATATTTTGTAGACACTTAAGCAGCTAAAATTGTTGCCAACACACTCACACACACACACGCATACACATGTACAGTATGTGTGTGTATGTGTTAGAAGCCATTTTGACGATAGCTTGCAACAATTTACGTACAGCATTCCAAGCAAGACATGCATGCAACAAAGCTCCAAAAGAAAAAGCAGCCAGCGAGCAGTTGAAAGGCAGCAAGTAACGTTAATGTTTTGCATTTTCTATGGCAGCCCATGAAGCGCGTCCGAGCAACGCGTTGCAACGGCGATGGCGACGGAAACGGAAACGGCGACATTGTTGAAAACATGCACGTGAAACTCGTTACCAAAGCAAAGGGGTGAGAGGGTAGCAGCAGCAGAAATAGAAGAAGAAAAGCAGCTGCAAGTGAATGCAGCGAACATGCAAGAAATCTTAACAAAAGCGGCAATTCATTTTAGCATTTTTTGAATCCAAAGACGTGCACATGTCAGGTGATTGTGATGGTGCTGTTAGGTAATGTGGCTGGCAAAATGGGTGCGAGAGATAGGGGCACGGATGAGGAATGCTCGGTGGCAAAGAGTGGGGTGGGGCAGATGACACATTTCGAGAATGGTTCCTTGTGTAGGTTGAGTGCTGCAACAATAATCAGGAGGGGGCAGGAAACCTGTAAGAATTGAAGATTGATGAAAGCAGATTGACAAACTTATACATATTTATTTGATTAGCAGTGGAGATTTGGTCAGCTCTTCAAGCATAGTCACTGTTTGTGTAATACTACACTTCATCCAGAATGATTAAGAATCAGAAGGATAAACACTGATTTAAATCAATACGACAGCAATCTATAAATATGAAATAGTTTGTCCGGAATGACTGACTGATTGGCAGTAACTGGCAGTGGCAAGCCCAAAAGGTAGAAGATAAAAAAACCTTGAAACTGAATCCAATGTAAATCAGCTCTGTTCAATTTGCAAAATGCTAAGTAAATATAAAGAAATGCTTTCGAATGAAAGATAACAGAGAACGTTAACTTGCTTTAATTAATTTAGTGTAGTAATTTATTTTGGACAATTGAAAATCTACAAGTATGTGCATATTTTAGCTAGAGTTCTAATCAACATCAATCGTAAATCAAATCAGGACATAACTTTGATACTTAACGCTTTTATGTACATATAAGTGCAATAGAATGCTAGGATAATATAACATATGAGGCTCTAGCTCTAGGGAAGTAATATGTAGATACATTTTTTTATTTTGCCTCATCAGCTGCCAATAGGCGGCATAACACAACATTCCCCTGTATTTTCTCCTACTTGTATGGACAAATTATTTTCCCTCTCTCGCTCTGAGACTGAACATTTCAAAATCGACATCTGCAAAGCGCCGTTTTACAAAACCGCATTTTCATACGGAATTCGGAGCCGGGACGCATGTGATGGAATCATGTGTAGTCGTATGCCCCTAGCTCTGAAAGCAGGATAGATACCAAGTGTTCCCTTGTCAGTTAGACTGCCTGTCCATGCATTGGACTGGTCTGTGCCGTGCCCGCCAATTACGCAGCAGCATTATATGAGAAGTTTCACAATACACGGACAGCAGCCTTTGGGCAATTGCCGAGTCATTTGCATGGTCAGTCGATTGCATCATGATATGGCTTGGTCTTTGCCATGTTAGAGCCGTTTGTTGCCAAAACAGTGGCACGTGTTTTTCCTCCTCCTCTTACCATTACCAAATGCTCGTTAAGTTTTATGCGCCAGTAGGCCTTTCCCCACGACATTTGGCTGCACCATTTACGTAATAAGCCATAAACTGGCGGTGCACCTCATGACGTTCCCTTACTTTTTATCTCTTGGCCGGTTTATGCGGTGCTTGAAAATTTTCATGTTCAACTATTTTAATCCATGAGAAAATCTTTTATTTTAAGAATAGGCAACCACACTGAAAATATTCTGTGAAATTTTTAAATGGGTTGGATATTTCAATTCCCAGTACCTATATTACGATGCATACTAGCACTTTTTTAGCTGGCGGTGACTAGCACTGGATCGATCAGGGACTTTCCGTTCCTCCTTTTATTTGCTTTATTCATTAATTTTTAAAATTTTTCGTCAAGTATGAGAAATATTTGAACAAAAATTCGGAAGGCAAAATTAAAATTAACGCTCCCGGTAGATTTAGCATATCCTCAAGATTATAAAATTTTATATGCAATGTCTATTGTGTTGCTTATTATAGGGAAGTCTGCATTTATATCCATTTCTTTGTCATTCCTCTACTCATCATTCAGCAGCATACTTTTAATTTATAATTATATATTCGAAAACATAATAAGCTCATACATTTGAGTCAAGTAGCTTTTTGAACACCCAAATCGTTGAAGACAAGTTTATAACTATTCTCAAAATTTTATAAATTGTACTAATACACATACCACCATGATATCTACAGAATCATCGGAGGAATCCTCCACGATTCCGTCCAGGGTTACAATACACTCCTGTGAAACATTAACTTGGTCATCCGACAAAACTTTGGGGAAGTCAGGAATAAGAATTACTCCGGACATGGTCCACAACCTACAGTATGATATACAATTGGACAACGATGGATATGAGACCTGGCAGGCGACAACTCCCTACCAATCTTTATCCTCTATCCTTCACGTATCAGTTACTGCCAAATCGCCCCAGTTAATGGCACTTTTCGCTGACGGCGATATAAACTCTGCCATGCGAATTTTACTAGAATCGCTTCACGCCCCGTTCGGCCCTAATGCTGTAGCCACTATTCTGGTGGAGAGGAGCATTGCAGATGATGTGAAGGCACGAATTCAACTTGGAATGCACTGCCTTCTTGGTGATTCGGCCTATAATAACCATTACATGCGGACCGTGGACAAACTTCAGCTAGTTGACTTTGAAACCATTATGGGCGATCCTGAGAAAGTGCAGGCATCTGTCACGCCCATTGTGGTCATCGGTCACACCCAGAACGAGCTGGGAACATGGCCCAGTGGGGTCATCACCATGCATACATTTGGGTGTCTCGCAGAAGCTATAGCTGCATATCGCAGCGAGGAAATGTTCTTTGAGGCCGTTTCAATATGGAATGAGACAATGGACGGGGTCCATGAACTATTGGCTGCAATTTCTTCCACTCTCCTTTATATAAACTGTTGCAATGTCGACATCGAACCGATAAGAGATGCCTACGAAAGTTCGAAAAAGACAGTCCTGGTGTGGAAAGGGCTCCACTACAAAATAGTAGAATTGATGGGAAAGCGTAAGATAATTGTGTTTCCTGTTGGGAAAGACATTAAAAAGTTAATCCAATTGGTTGATAAAGCTCCTAAAAAAAGGTACATTGATGGCCTTAATCCCTAATAAATTTAAATGGTATATTATAGCAGATATAGGATTTGTTTAATTTACCCCGACACAAATACATAATTGTTAATCAAGCAACTTTAATCGAGCAATTACTAATGATTTGATTTCAAAAAATGACTTACTACAAGTATATGTATAGTGCGATGTAAAATTGTGATTTGAAATGGCAAAATATTGTTAGATGCGACTTGATTTCGACTGATCGCCTGCCACTCTCTCCACAGGGCTGCCACCTGCCAGGTCTACCATCACTTCTTACATAAATTAGAGACTAGAAAGACCACACAAGTAATACAAATGTGGCACACGAAAATTATAATCATATCAGTTTCAATTTATTTGGGATGGGAGAAGTAAAGACATAGCAATATATCATTACTGAAATTTTACTAGCAGCTCTGGCCACTCACGCCTCTTATGAAAACACATGATTTATCGATGCACACCAGAATCGGACGTAAAGTCCATTGAGTGTGATGGCGAAGAAGTTGTCGTGACAGCCCGAGAGAATCGAGTTGTTTGTTAAACTACAATTTATTTGTTAACTAATAAATAAACTGTTTTGTTTGCATTCATTTCTAAGCCATATTGCATTCCCATTGAATTGGTTGAGTGTCTCAAATGCCCCAAATATCCAGGACTCGTGTAAACGTTGAAATTGCTCCTTTAGTCGTGCAGTTGACGTCTCCGGCGGCGACACCGTCAGCTGCGCAGTCGCCATTACAGTCGCTGTTGGGGGAATTGGCTCTGTCATGGCTATTGCAGCAGTGAAGTGGCATGCACTTTTCAGCCTAAAGTATGCACTCAATTTTTGTCTGTCTTTCGGTCTGTCTATAAGCCAGTTTGAGCATGTGTGTTGATGGTGGATATGTGTGTGTGTGTGTGTTGCCTTTGCATACCTAAGTAGCCATTTAGCGTTGTTGTGCCTATTATACATGCAACGAGACTGCCGCTACAACCACCGCCCGCCCACGAGGACAACGGGGTTGCAGGACGGAGCTGGCACCAACAGTTAGGCACATTTCAAGTAGTGTGTTCAAGTGCCAAGTTGTCTGCGCCACCTACACACATCCTACAATGGCATCAGGAGCAGCGACGACACAACAACACAACAGCTAGAGAGACAATTTCCATTTTTGTGCAGCTCATAAACCTTCAACTTTAGCTGCCTTAGCCGCCTGCCGACGAGAACGTCAAGGACACACATGCTCGTAGGTGTCTCTGGTGTCTCTCTGCTGTCTGTCTGCCCCCTTATCGCCGCTCCGCCTTGATATTTTTATGTGAATTTATGTTTTTGATTAGTGCAGCCTCTGAGTTATGCATGCATTTCAGTTTGACTTTCATTGCGCTGTCTTTAATAAATTTAGCGCGAGACTACGTGTGCATGGTGTGTGTGTGTGTGTGTGTGTGTGTGTGTGGGTGTGCGCACCTCATCTTATGTCCTTCGCTCCCGACGCCCACTGCTTAATCTGTATGAAGTGCCAGCGTCTTGTTTATTACTGTTGTTGCCTACTGCTTGACTTTTGCATGAAGCCAGCTCGTATTTCTGCCCTAAAGCTCTCGTCCTGGCCTATTTGCATGCATACACACGCACTGATTTCAGATATGAACGCACACACACACACACACACACACACACACACGCATTTACATATTGTACGAGTACGTATGCCAGACTTTTGTTTTATTTGCATTAAATTTATGCAATTTCCTTGATACAAGTGCGCAAAATGTTGCACATAAACATAAACTACATGCATACATACTACTTGTACATATGTACATATATGTACTACTAGTATATATATAGTCGCATTTAATATTGCAGCTGCTACAAAATTTATATTCAATATCTAATAGAAAAACTGCTTATCCGCAAAATCATTTTCAATATTTATTAGTGCTGCAAAAGTCGTTCCGGACTTTGTTTAGTTTGGTTTAGTTTGCCATCCATTGGGAGTATTATAAAAAGCATTTCCATTAAGCCAGCTTAAATGCGGCCCAAGGCTAAAAAACGCATTTAAATTAGGACACTTTTTGTTGTCTCGTCGTTGAATTCCATTTGGCGTTCACATCAAACATAGAGACAGATAGACAGCCAGTTAGAGAGACAGTGGCTTTTCATTTGCCAAACTTCAAATGGGGAAAACAGAATTGAAAATGGAAAGTGAATCAGTAAATCCGCCTTAAATTTTTATTAAGCGCCCGTTGACAGTGTCGAATACAAGTACATATGTATTTATATATGTACAAGTATGTATGTACTCTATGTATGCCAGTCACTGTCGTTGTGAGCACAAGTCCCTAAACTCCCACTTAAAATTTATTTATACGCTCCACACAAATTTAATTGCGTTTGCGTTGCGCATTGTCCTGCGCGTCCTGCGCGTCCTGCTCTCCCCGCTTGGCTCAGTGCTTGCAGGCAACATCAGAGCCAGAAGTAGAAGCAGAAGCAGAAGAAGAAGCAATGGGAATATAAGACGAAGCCGTGGCGGTAGAAGGAGCAGCTGGAACAGGAGCCACAGCAACGGCAGCGGCAGCACAATAAATAGTTTATTTAAGGATTGTTCCTGGCTGACGAATGACTGTCCCATTGCCGTTGTCGTCGCTCCAATATGCGTTCAGATGGAGGAATGAAATTTTCATTGTTTTTTATTTTGTGCCCCAAGTGTTTGAAAAAGTGTCGCATTTTGATTGCGTTTCGTTTCGTTTCGTTCTTTCTTGGCTTACATTAAATAATGTCTGCTCTAGGGCAGCCAGTTCGGGGCAGGTAGGAGTCCCACGTCAAAATTTGTACCAGATCCGCATTGCTTTGAAGTGCCTTGGCCATGCACTTACTCGTACACCTCGCCTTATCATCTGGGTGTCGTTGTGGGCGCTGTTCACTGTAGGGGGCAAGTACGCAGGCACGCCCCCTGCCCTGGCTGTCACGACTGTCATGACTGCCCTCTTCGCCTTCAGCTTTTCGCATGGGGTGGGAAGAAGAGGAAGAGGAAGTGACGCAGTCATCTTTAATTCATGATGCGGGCTTTTTGTCGCCTTGCATTTTGGGGGACACCGAGAGCGTAGAAAGCGTGATTTAAACAGCGGTTTATGTGTTTCCAACATGTGGTTATCTTGCAAAGCAGCGTTTAGTGTCACTGTGGGGCTAAGTCAAGCGATGCTGGGAGCCTCTCACTGCAATTGAACATTGAACAAGGGGATGCTAGAGGATTCACATATGGCATAATTTATGTTTTACTCATAAAGCTTGGCAGAATAAGATGAATTCAATTTATTGCAAAAATAAATACGAATAGTACTATGAAGAATATTCAGAAATTGGGTTTAAAAAATGGCAAGTTTTCGCCTAAACTAGATAGCACCTATAAGAAAGGGACCCAAGTGAGATACAAAAATACAATAAAACTTTACTTTTTCACCCGAATTCATTTAATATTTTAATTTAATTTATTGCTCACAAACATGCGAATTGAAAAGTAAAATCGATAAGTATGTTATTTATCTTGTATTTCAATGCACTGCCCAATTGAATTGGACAATGTGTTTGTAATCATCTAGGCTATGAATTGTCTCTAAAAAGGGATTTTCATAATAAGAAATATCCACAAATGACTTAAATTGGATGTGATTTCATATTTCTCCGATTCTGTATATTTGATCATGACAGCCTTCTCAGACCGTAAATTATACACGTATATATATTTTTAGATAGATTTTTGATGTAATCAATCAATTGTTCTGTTGCCCAGTTTGTACTGACTGCCAATATTGCTTTATAAATTATGACTGCAATGAATTAAATCTGGATATATGGCTTAATTGCCGTTAATTGATAACAAGTAATAAATAAGAAACAAATTGTAATTTTTTGTGAAGATGCTCAATTAATGCTCTATTTGAAACTTTTATTAAATACATAAATTTCAGTTGATGACTATTATTTGATAAAAACGGGAACTCGTCAGGATTTTGAAAAAACTACTTGCTTTAAATAATTGTTTCAGCTTTAATTAAATGAGCAACAATTGATAATATCTCAGAGATTATTACACTGATAAAAAAATGCAACGAAATTTAAATATTTACACGTAGATTTAACTATTTTTACCATCGATTTTTCACTACAGTGTGTTTTAGTAAATATGAAGTGTGCACACTTAATTTTTTAATTTAATATATTCGTAGTAAATTTGAAGTGCTGGACTATTTAATCTAAAGTGTTGACATATTCAAATTAAAATGTAAACATATTAATTATGAATACTGTCATATTCAAATATTTACTATTTTCATATTTAATTTTAGATGTGAACATATTAAAATCCAAATGTGAACATATTAAGATCCAAATGTTAAAATAGTAATTATGAATATGATTCATATTCAATATTAACTATTTTCATTTTAGATTTTAATATTTTTAATATTTGATTCAAAGTGTTCCCATAGTCAAATTAAACAATTTCATATTAAGAATAAATTATCGATTTATTTACTATCGATAATCGAATTTTTATTTTAATTCAAACTCAATTAATTTTTAGAGTACATGATAATAATAGTAATAACAATAATAGAATTTAAATAGATCTATATTTTACATAGCTTTTACCGTTGTTATTCAAATATACATGCAATGGGTGGCTTGTAAAATATTCTATATCCTTAATAATTAATGTTCGATCTTTGTGGCCAACTTCATAAGCTTGCATATGTTTACAAAATCGTTCAACTTTTATTTCATTACAAGCAGCGTAGATTTGAGCTTCTTCATAAAAAAAGAAAAGCAACTTAAACAATTTGATATTATTTTCGTTATTCCCTAAATAATAGTTTTTTTTATACAAAACTCCTTTAAATTCTAAATTTTCACAATATTTTAAGTGATTGGACTTAAACAATTTTGAATAGCATACATTTTCCAAACATTGTATGTCTGTTATAGATTTGTCTGTAAAGCTATACTTATCAAATAATGGTGGAATACCTGACTCATAACTTAGCAAGATGAAAAATGA